ACAAATGGGAGGGATGGGGGGGGGGGTAGTGCTGGGTGGCTCAGACAGTTAAGCATATGACTTCGGCTCAGGTCATGCTCTCATGGTTCATGAGTTCGAGCCCCGTATCAGGCTCTGTGCTGACAGCTCGGAGCCTGGAGCCTGCTTCGGATTCTGTGTCTCCCTCTCTCTGCCCCTGCCCCGCTCGTGCTGTGTGTGTCTCTCTCTCTCTCAAAAATAAAAATAAAAAATTAAACGAAAAACAAATGGGGGGATATACATTAGTGACACCGAGAAGAGATGTTGTACAAAGCATCTGATTTACACCTAAAAACAAACCTAACTGAACCAACCGAACCCAAGATAGAAGCCAGTGAAAAGCCATGAAGGGATCTTGGAAAAGATAACCAATGTTTACATCTTTATAAAGCCTCATTTAAAAGTCATCAGATACCAAACATGTGGAAAGAAAAACGAAAGCTCATTTAGACCAGGGGCTCGTAAAGCTACCTGTTAAGGGACAGGGAGTAAATATTTTGGGTTTTGTGGGCCACGTGGTCTCTGTCATAGCTATTCAATACCACCATTTTGGTGTGAAAACAGCCAGAGAAGACAGAGAAAGGAAGGAATATTACTGTGTTCCAATAAAACATTATAAAAGGTGGCGGACAGGATTTGGCCCATGGACTGCCAAGTCTTGATCTAGACCACTAGTAAGATTTCCTTTCAATAAATGGTCTCTAAAAAAAAAAAAAAAAAAAAAAAAAAAAAAAAAAAAAAAAAAGAGGTATGACTCAGTATGGGTTAATGCTAATAGCAAAATTCCAATTGTGACACAAATTCTTCCCTGCCAACAGATAGTCATGGGGGAAAAAAAACAAACGTAAAATCCTAGTTGACCCATGTTGTTAAACATGGGGTTGAACTGTGCGGGTCCGCCAATATGCGGATTTTTTTTTTTTAACGGTATGTATTTTCTCTTATGATTTGCTCAGTAACATTTTTCTCTAGCTGCGTTGTAAGAATACAGTATGTAATACATATAACATGCAAAATATGTGTTAACTGTTCATGTTCTTGGTAAAGTTTTCGGTCAACAGCAGGACCATTAGCAGGTATGCTTTGAGGGAGTCAAAAATTATACGTGGATTTTCAACCGCCTGGGGGTCGGCGCCCCAACCCCAATGTCGTTCAAGGGCCGATTGTATCCAAAATTTATAATTCTATGTACACAATTCTAAAAAAATTAAAAAAAAATTTTAAGTACAGATTTTTACCAGCACTTTTTGATTGGATCTATCTAGAGCTTCCCTCATAAAGAAGAGAGGGGCTCCTGGGTGGCTCAGTTGGTTAAGCGTCTGACTCTTGATTTCGGCTCAGGTCAGGATCTCATGGTTTGGGAGAGCGAGCCCGGCACTGGACTCTGCGCTGGCAGCACGGAGCCCGCTTGGGATTCTCTCTCCCTCTCTGTACCTCCCCCCCACGCACCAGTGCTCTCTCTCAAAACAAATAAATAGAAGTTACTTAAGAAGAGGTGACATCTTAATTTTCCATTCGCTCCTAATGTTGTGAAAGCATTTGCTACCAGACCGGTTGGTGGATGCGAGGGTGTGTTAATGGTAAAGCATGGTGGGGGGCCTCTAACACAAGGGGGCCAGAGAGCAAAGGCTCCATCTTGCCCCATCCCCAGCCAAAGTAGTCGGCCAAGGCCACACCGAAAGGCGCTCTTAGGCCAGTTGATCCCAGAAGCAACAGCCCTCACCTCCACATCAAAGAGCGTCGACCCATAGCCTGGCCACTCCTTGATCAAGGCCATGTACTTGGCCATGGCCTGCTCCTGGCCCATTCCCTGCAATTTCTTCCATTTGTCAATGATGCTGGCCCGAGCCGAGGAGACTTCCTCCTTGATCCACATGTCCAGCAACTGCTCTTCCTCAACCTTCTGTCGGACGACAGACCCCGTGCGGAAGCTCCGCCTCAGCGTCCCCTCCAGGAAGCTCGTCCGCCTCTTCTCCAGCCGCTCACACGGGGTGAAGCTTTTGGTCGACTGGCTGATGCGGGCCTTCAGCCTCTGCACGGAGTAGACGTCCTCGAGGGGTGGCACGGAGGCATGCAGGGAGTAATCCCCCTGCAGGTACTGGAGCCGCAGGGCAGCGAGAACCTGGAGGTTCTCTTCGGGGGCCGGGTAGTGGCCACGGATAACAGCTTCGTGTGCCTGAAAGGAGGCGGCGGGCAGCGGCGGCATTAGGGGCGCGTGAGCCTAAATCCGCCAGCTTTCCCCTCCCGTGTCACCTCCCCTGCAAACTATACCCTCACCCCCTGTGGCTGCTTTACATTTCTCCCTAGCCCAGACAGCATCGAACCCATGTTTTACCCTTTAATGTCTCTCCCCCGCCAGCTAAAACAGTTCTTGGCACAGGAGTTCAAATACAACACGCAGTAGTTTCGTTCTAGAAAGGCGTCACAGAGCAGCTGTCCCTGTGCATGCTGGGAAACATACCGCTATGCCCAACCGCTAACCTAGCAGCGGAGTGAACAGGTTTTAGCCCTGTTCCCCAGCAGAGGAATCCATTTCTGCAGGTTCCTTCTACCTGTTCAAACATAAACGCGAATTCCACACTGTCTTCTGGCACGTTGTCTGTGTCCAAGAAGCAGTAGAGTTTGAAGTAGAATTTCCAGGGCCGGTCCCCCACCTCCGATGTGGCAGCCAGCCTACAGACAGAAGAGACGTTCAGAAGGCACTAGGAGCTGACTTGAGATGGCTCGTTCCAAGGACACAGACATTCTGTCCGTGCTCAGGTAACACGGTGGGGGTGGGGACGGAGGCAGAGAAAACAGAACAAGGGCGAGGCTGATTACCAGAGTCCCTTACGTTATTTAGCCAGAGGTGAAAAATGACGCTTTCGTTCTCGTCTCACTTCAAGACCATAAACTTCAGTTAAACTGTGCTAACAAGTATTTTCTGAGTCGCCCAGTCAAATCAGTACTGGCTAAGCCTTATGCTGAGTCCATAGAAAGAAAAGAAACAAAGGCTATATATATATATCTTTATTCCCTTTACTAATCCTCGAGTAAACTACAGTATTTATAAAAATCAACATGAATAGCACGTGTTTAAACTGAACAGGAATTCTGGGGCGCCTGGGTGGTTCAGTCGGTTAAGCGTCCCACTCTTGATTTTGGCTCAGGGCATGATCTCACGGTTCACGGGATCGAGCCCCATGTCGGGCTCTGTGCTGACAGTGCAGAGCCTGCTTCATATTCTGTGTCTCTCTCTCTCTCTCTCTCTCTCTGCCCCTACCCCGCTCAGACTCTGTCTCTCCTAAAAAAAAACACACATTAAAAAAAATTGAATAGGAATATCTTTTGTGTTACTTAGGACATAGGGAAGTCATAGATGAAATATTATACACCCAAGAGGTATAAAATGCATTTTGAACAATTTATGAGTTTGCTTGTGTCTGTTAGCCCAGCTTCAAAGCTAATGACAAGTGAAAAGCATAGACTCAAGAAATTCCAAGATAATGAGTATAGCAGGGACCTGAGAGAAAGAATGGGGTAAAGGAACAATCTTATTTGACACAGGCTTCATCTAGGAATCAAGAAAAACAGGAACGCCAGGGTGGCTCAGTTAAACATCCGACTCTTGATTTTGGCTCAGGTCGTGATCTCTCAGTTTGTGGGACTGAGCTCCGTGCTCCGTGTCGAGCTCTGTGCTGACAGTGCGGAGCCTGCTTGGAATTCTCGCTCTCAAAATAAACATTTGCAGAAAGAAAAACAGGCAGCAGAAAGGTACGGAAAATGAAACGTGCTTTCGCACAAGTAAAAGAAAAGGCACCCAAATGCACACTGAAGGTGAAGATGGAATAGAAATTCAAATCCTCAACTCTCAATTTCCTTGACTTAAATCTGCTAGCACTTGAGGGAGAAGGAACGTACTTTTCAAACTTTGCCAACACGTCAGCTACGATGGTTCGGCTTTCAATGGCTTTATCCACATTTCCGTTGTACTCAAACAAGGCGAACATGTTCCTGCTGTCCTCCATGGCGAGGCCTCTGATCAGCTTCTCCACCACCTGCAAAATATACCCCGAGGGCTTCGGCTGCCAGCACGCGGTTCTAGAATGTGCCTTCCCCTGAACCCCAAGGGAGCTGCCGGCAAGCGAGGGTCCAAGCAGCCCCCTACAACTGTCCTGTGTGTTCACCCAGAATTTCAAAGGTGCCGTTTTTCCATTACTCTCTAGAAACCAGATGTGTCTTATCCTTGTAAAAAAAAGAACACGGGGTATGTATTTCACCCACTGGTAGAGATGGATGGCGGGCGGATTTCTTGCAGACCCATCCTGGTAGGAAAGTGCATGAAAACCGAAGCCCTTTCATCTGATACATCCATCGCCTGCCAAGAAACAAGGGTTTCCACCGTGTTTCTTCCTTCCACGCCAGAAGCTTCTCTGGGTTTTATTGCCCTACTTCTTTTAGCCAACTGGTTTTACAATACTAAATTTTAAAAAAGAGAGAAAAAAAAAGAAAAGAAAATACGCTCTCATCTGACCCTTCACGGTAGATTTCTGTTTGGCAAACAGACACCTGATGGCAGAAATGCACCAAAAAATCCCACGTCAGGGCGGGCACACCCGAGTCAGGGAGGAAATCTCTCCTCGACCCTCAACTGCTTGGCACGTCAGCAGGACTGCGGCTCAGGTATTCTGGCACCAGCTTAATTTTTGCATTCCTACTCATCTTTGATGCGTATTTTTGTCTCATCGTACGTGAGCTTCGTCGTCGGTTACATACACCCCGCTTACTGAGCCGCTGTACTATGCCGGTCACGACCACACGCTGGCCCACCTAACTGCACAACTTCCCTGACGTCTGCATGGGGGCGGTCAGGGATCGGAGTCCGCCGCGGGCGGGCTTCTCCCTCACCTCCCCGGCCGTGGTGTGGGAGTTGATAGTGATCTTGCAGGAGCCTCCGCCGTGGCAGTGCACCGTGGACGTCATCTCCTGCCTGTGGATCAGTGCTTCTATCTCATCTCGGGAAGGCACAAACTCTCTGCATTTGGTTTTCTTGAGAGATTCATAAATGAAGAGGGAGTATTTTTCCATCTCGGTTCCTGGAAACTGCTCCCGTATCCTAGGAGACAAACACTTCGCTGTTAATGTGCTAGACTGCGGCTGGCCGCCGTCTGGGCGCTGGGATGCTTCAGCAGGCTGCACGTCAGCGGAGCCAGTGGCCCCCCAGTGACACGTGCGGCGGATGCCGGTCACTTCCCAGCTGGGGCCTCTACTGTCCTGTGTAGGTTTTGTTTAAAAGCAAAACAAAAACAAAAACAAAAAACAAAAAACAACCAAAAACAAATCCCAAAGCTTTTGCTGCCAGCTCACCTCCGTGATGCTGGTGACGGTCACGTCTCAGACCATCGTATGAAAACTGTTCTTACGTAGTTTGCATCAGAGTCTGCACGGGAATGTTTCTGTTTGATCTGGACCAAAAATAGCTAAGGTTTCCCCCCTCCATGTATACAGGCAGCGGTAATTAAATGTATTTGACGTCTGGGGTGCGTGGGGGGGGCTCAGGGGGCTGAGCATCCGACTTTGGTTTGGGGCGTGATCCCACGGTTCATGAGTTCGAGCCCCACATCAGGCTCTCTGCTGTCAGTGTGGAGCCTGCCTCAGATCCTCTGTCTCCCCTCTGTCTCCGCCCCTCCCCTGTTCATGCTCTCTCAAAAATAAATATTAAAAAAAAAAAATTAAACGTATTCAGCCTCTTCCACATGGGGACACTACACTGAAAGTGACCGTGTCCCTGAGACAGCCTTGTGTGGCTTGAGCTGGAGAGGAGGCCTGCACAGTGTCAGCCTGCTCAAGGGGACGCACGCGTCTGGCCTAGAGGTCCCTGACCATGCCAGGTGCCTTCTGTTTCGGGCTCTCCGCATCTGAGCTCCGCCCCGCCCCTGCGGTGTGCAACCCCCCCCCCCCCCCCCCCCCCCCCCCCCCCCACCGCCATGCACCCCCCACCTTCTCAGATGGAACCGGAGGTACTTGAGGATGCCCCGGCTCGGCAAGAAGGTGCAGCTTAAGCACGTCAGGATCTGCCAGCTGCACAGGTTGCCCACGCTGCCCGGATGGGGCACCTTGTTGGTCTGTTTGATGAGCTGGCAGTACAGCTCGTCTCGCAGAGGTCGGAGGTCATGCCCGGTCTGCAGGATGCCCTGGATGATGGGAATGGGGTCGGACATGGACTCCAGTTGCTGGAGGGAATTGAAGATCTTGATGGCTTCATCCTGAAGGGTGGTGTAGCCTTTGTCTTTGAGCACTAGGAGGAGGACACACACACAAGTCACACGGAGGGTTTGGCCAAGGTCCAATCTGAGCATTGCACAGGGGGAAGGAACGGGGACAGACGTCGGCTTCACGACCCAGGGCTCGCCACGTTCCCTGAACATCTGAATCAGGCGAACACAGAGGTGAGAGCGTTATGCTCTTTTGCTACGCAATTCACCTTTTTCACTCTACAAGACGCTGGCTTAAAATTTGGTCTGTTGCCAGACAGGTTCTCTATTTTTAGGATCTGGGACTAGACTTTTAATTCTCTGGCAAATTAAGGCAACCCTGAGTTCAGAGGCAGGGCTGGCATTTCCTGACTCCCTTGAAAATCGTTCTCTTAGTTCCACAGTCCTCTTCTCACCACAAGCGACAGATGCTGGCTGGACAGAGAGGCAGAGTCGGTGACCGGGGAGAACAGTTACGGTACCGAGAACAGCGGGGCGCGGGCGGGGTGGGGACTCACGGTTCAGGTTGATGTCTCCGTAGGGCAGGGGCAGGAGCGGCGAGTGCAGGGGGTGGTGTGTGTGACGGAGGATGGGGTTCCGTTTGTAGATCTGCTCCACCACATCCGAGTTCAGGCAGTTCTCCTGTAAAGCAGAGGACCCGGTGAAGCCAGCCAGCCGGCTCATCCAGAACACATGTACATAAATGAACAAAATCATCTGTATTCTCCCACACGTGAACCTCTCCCAGAGTCTAAAGCGTCCGTGGGCCTCGGGACGTGGTGAGGGTCTAGCATTAATAATTCAAGCGCGAAGATACCAGCAATCTGTGTCTGAAGGCAAATCACAAATACACGTTTTTCTCACAGCTCAGTCCATGTGTATGTATTTTCCCACGTTATAAAAAAAACCCAAAAATTTCCACTGGAGATTACATATGCTTCAAAAACACTGAAGTTCTCTTGCTATTTAGCCACCAATCATGTAGCCAAACCATGTATTTTTATCCATAATTCTTTTAAAAAGAACTGGGTGGCTCAGCTGGGTAAACGTCTGACTTCAGCTCAGGTCATGATCTCACCGTTCGTGAGTTCGAGCCCCGCGTTGGGCTCTGTGCTGACAGCTCGGAGCCTGGAGCCTGCTTCAGATTCTGTGTCTCCCTCTCTGCCCCTCCCCTACTCACACTCTGTCTCTATCTCTCTCAAAAATAAATAAACATTAAAAAAATTAAAAAAATACATTGTTTTCGTTCTTTAAATGGTCTTCTGTATTTCTCTATACATAAAAGTTACACGTTAGTATGTTATTAGTGAGACCGTTCAACATGCCTGCCATCTCTTTCTTGAAATTTAAGAGATCTCCTCATAGCAATTCATCATGCACTTATGCTCCTAAAATGTTAATTGGGGATTCAAAAAAGGCAAAGTTCCTTTTAGAACATTAAATAAACAGAAAAGTTGGAGAGGCAGTGAATCATTCTACTGTGGTAATTTCCACTATGAAACTTTTTTAGTTAACACCCAGTTAGTTAAGAGCCAGAAAAAAAGAAAAAAAAACTATTTCAAAAATTTTGTATGGACTTAATTAGGGCAACCTAAATTTAAAAAAAAAAAACATTGCTTCATATTTGGAAAATTCAATTACTCTTTTAATGACAGATGTCAAATTAGAGAAGATAAGAATACAGCTGACATAGCTTTGAAGAGAAAGTTCAGCTGATGTGTTTTTTTCACTCCTTTCTCAAAAGGAAGCTTTAAAAAGTTTTTAAATGCGAAAAAGGAAGTTACTAGTATTCAGCACCCTGGGTTCCATGGAAAGCTTTACAGAGACTTGGAGAATAATTAGCTTGGTGGAATTGAGCTCCAAATACCCAGAAAACGCACCACTTTGGAATCAAGAGGCAGATTTGCGTTCGGTGGGAAATTATGCACTACTGCATTATTAGACCCTCTTCCGCCTCTGCAAAGGCAGAGCTTGCCTCCTGGATCTGCTTAATTTTCCTTGATGTAGATCAGTAAATACCTATCTTGCTATCATTCTCAAGTCCTCTCTGTCACTGCTCCAGCTCTTCCCTTTGTATTGGGAATCTATCCGAATGGGTAACTTGGAGGAACAGCAGTAAAAATAATCCCCTTGACCCGGTTCTACACTGGGGACTGACCAGCTACATGAACAGCGCAATCAGACTATTCTGTGTCTGTTTCCATTCCTGAAAAATGAGTGGAGTACCCTTTATGAATAATGCTGCCATTTCATTATTCACTCAATGTATACTCAACTGAGCAATTAATCTTTATAAAAAGGAAATGAAAATTTAACCAGGTTAGGGGCACCTGGGTGGCTCAGTCGGTTAAGCATCGGACTCTTGGTTTCGGCTCAGGTCACGATCTCATGGTCGTGAGATGGGAGACCCGAGTCAGGCTGACTCCAAGCTGGGCACGGAGACTGCTTGAGATCTCTCTCTCCCCCTCTGCCCCTACCTTGCTCATGCAGTCACTTTCGCAAACAAACAAACAAACAAAAAGAAAGTCAGTGTAGGTCCAGAGATTGGGACGCTTCCTGTTGTGTTTGGGGGTGCCTACTAAAGGTTCCAAGTTTTCTAGACCAATCCTGGCTATTTGTGTACCCACCTGTGTGGTCCGCTAACTGTATCGTAAGGATAGGATTATCGTGTTACTCCTAGAAGGTCCCCAACCCAGGGCTGAAGGGCAACTTGTGGCACACGTCACCTCCACGCAGATCACAGCACGTCCCCGTCACGGGGAGTTCTGCACCCCAGACCACAGACCATCATTCCTCTGTCTACACAACACAAGCCCACATTTGCCTCAGCGGCAACACGACACCTCTCTGGAGACAAAGTATTTTTAGCGTAAGCTTTCGGCTCAGCTCTCGAATTCAGATTTCTAAAAGCAGTGACGTTCCAACAGAAAACCAACCAAAAGTTAGTTTTTGATTACAGAATAAAAATGGAGCTTGACCCACATCTTGACGTTCCAAGGGTGAGAACCGGTGAGCTACCTCCCGTGAGCCACCCTGTCTTGAATCCTTACCTTGATGTCTTGAATCAGCTGCTGGGTGGGAGTGTCGATCGGGGCCTTGGCGTCTGTCACATTTTGAATGGCGCTGGACCACCTGGTGGCCTCGTTGAGCAGCTTGGTGTAGAGCCGGTAACAGTGCTTGCGGCCGTACACGGTGACATTCCAGTAGCCTGTGACAGAGCACACACACCACGGGCGTCAGCCTCCGCAGGGATGGTCTGGCACCAGAGTCCCAGAAAGCCAGAAACTCAGCCCCGTTGTCAGAGCCGGTGTCCTCTCCACCTGAGCCTCTTTAATTAGCTAATTCAACAAATCCTCTCCCAATTCCTACACGTGCCTTGTCCTGTGCTAAGCACCCACATGCCCAAACGAGGAGCGTACAGCTGCCGAGAGGAAGACACATAAAGTGAGAAACCCAGGAGTAAATACATAAAAGGGTCACGTTTGCTCTGGAAAAAAAACAGGCACAAACCGGCTCTGCACAAGAGTGAAAACGCTTCCCTCCCTTCCTGCTGTTCCTTCTCCCCTCCTGTTTATTCTCCTTTCCTTAGGCTCTCCCTTGAGAAGAAAACACTTCTGCTAAGCAAACAGTCTGTGTGTCCAGAAACAAGCTGTCAGGGGACAGAGGAGCTATGTTTGCAAAAGCGCAAAATCACAACTAGCAACAAAACCCAAACAATGTAGAAATATCTTCGTAATAGTGACAAGGGGAAAAAAAAAAAAAACTAAGCTAACATCAGTGCTATTCTACTAGGTGAAGCTCAGGGACAGTCAGGATTGATCTTTCTTAGGCTGCGTTAGGGCTCTCACAGCACAAAGATGAACACGCGGCATACAGAAATAAAGCTCCATACAGGAGAATCCCTGTTTATATGTGACTGTCTTCAGAAGAACATTTCTGCAACTCAGTTAAGCGGGACCTCTTCACCGTGGTTTCAATACTAAGCGTGCATACAGCTAACCAAACTCCTCCCTCTGGTCCGAGCAAACCCAGGCCTCCTCGGGCTCCAGGTGCGAGCTTTCGGGCCCAGCTCGTCACAGGCACACGGCACCGTTACCTGTGTCTTTGAAGATCTTCTCGTCCGGAGGCACCACCGAGCACAGGCTATTGAGGACCAACGTGCCCAATTTCAGAGCATTCTTCTCTGAGCTCTTGTAGTAATCCAAGGAATTGTGGGTAAGCACAAACCACCGTTTTTTTAGTTTTAACGAAGACATCTTTGGACTGTTCTTTACTTCTTTGTGCAGCCACCCTGGAAAGGAAGATCGGAGTGTAAATTAAAAACTAGGAAGACAAACACCAAACATCAGGTAATAATTTGCAGGATGCTTCCTAATGGGTCATATTTCTATATATTTGCTAGAAAGGGCCACGACCCTTTCTTGTGTTTTTGTTGTTTGTCTGCTTGTTGGTCTGTTAAGCAAGTTCAAGAGTCAAAATTACTCAGGAAAGCTGCTCAAAGGGGCAAGGCCGTGGTGGCAGTCACCTCTCACGATGAATTCCTGGCCCTCCACTCTTGTGTCCCCCTTGGACCTCTGCAGCAGCGTTATCCAATGATGCATCTCCTCCGGTGTATCAGCGTTGCAATGCAGCACCCGGTTGGCCGTGATGATCACAAACGAATTGGGTCTGGGCGACAGGGCAAGAAGGAAGCCAAGACTTAGCTCTCTACTGTCCGCATCACCTGCTCGAACCAAGACCAGCCGCCTCTTTCCTGGCTTATGGTCAGCGGGACGAAAAGCGCGGTGCTATTTGTGGTTTGTGCTAAGGCAAATCTTGCTCATTTCTGCAGGATTTATTTTATGCATCATTAACCTTTAAACTTGGAGCAACACATTCAGGAGGCCCTGGAAGGGGAAAGATTCCTTCATGCAAAACTTTCCAAATGAAACTTGGTTCCGGGAAGGCTAAAATAAGGTGACAGTGGGGGAATTTTTTTTTTTTTCTGATGCCTCTCCAAAGTAAATTTCTCTCTGCCTCTGGGTACTGCCTTGGATAATATTTCTGTGGGTCGGTAATGAAACGTCAGACACCAGTAATAAAAGCAGATCAGTAAATAGGTGTAAATGGAACATCTTATACACTTGATTATGCTTGCTACAAAAAAGCCACCTGGGTCCATGTTTTCAAAGCAATCTAACAAAGGCTTATTTCCCAGTCAGGGATAACATAATAATGGAAATTTACTTTCTCCTTCACCTCTTTTTGTCTGGCAATGCCCTGAGTCTCTCCTAGGCCCTAGCTCATACTCATGCCTATATTGAACCACTTAAGCTGGTGGCTGTGAATTTCTTGCAGGCTTCCAAATGCTCGCGGCAATTAAGCGCTGCAAAAGTTCAAGAAAAAGCAAGAATAATGGGACTGTAGTAGACAGGGAAAGACAGGTGCTCTTTAAAAGACACGTCTCTTGTTGGGAAGGAGGTGGGCACTTGAGGAAGAGAGAAGGATGTGAGTAGGAATGGAAAGTTCTAAGCATGGACCCTCACATGGCCCAGCCTGCTGGAGCGAAAGGGTTTAGGAGACAGATGTAGATAGGGTAGGAACTTGGCCGTCAGAATAAAATCTGGGCTGAATATGGACAAAACACACGTGTTAAAGGTTCTGAAGACTCTAGATAATTCTACCTAGTAGGCACTATTTTTGTTGTCAGTTGGAATACATTTCTATCCACTTTCTAAAGCTACCTTACTGAAGGCAGGAGCCAATTTTGATTCTTAATGCAGAATTCAAAGAGCAGCAAAGAAACACAGAGAAGACAAAGGTCAATGGTACAGACTCCTGAGGGCATCCATGAAGATGGTTTGCCTTCAAAAAAACAAAACCAACACATGCTATCTTAAGGGCACAAATAAGGTTGAGATGTCAAGGGAAGAATGTGGTTTAATTTATTAACACTCCACATATACGTTACAACAAGATCCTTTTTAAATTCCTTATTAAGTTTAGGAAGGGGAACAGAACCCTTCCCTATGGTGGAATACTATTTTCCTAAATAGGTATTTTCTTCCTCTTTGAATCCTGGGTTTACCCCTGTACCCAAATGAAGAATATTCCTCTTGTGTGTATGTTTTTAACTGACTGTCTAAATTAGGTTTCCACGGTCTCTCCCAGCAGCCCAAAGATACCCAGAGAGGATGACTTCTGGGTGATATACAACTGGGCACAAAGAAAGAAGACTGGAATTGACCAGGTGACAACATGCAGCCTAAAATCATTTCACAGCTCAGAAAAGAAGGGACCTAGAAGCAGAGAGAGCTGTGGGAGCATGCAGGTTACTAATCACTTTCGCCAAGAGTCACATCTGAACTTACCTCTCGGGGCTGTCAGAGGCACACACAGAGTCTATCATCCCCACATCCAAAGTGCCCTGGAAAGGAGCAAAAACAGAGGGAAGAGAACCATTGAAATACAGCACACGTCATCATAATATCCTTAGATCACGAAGCTCTAAATAGGCAAACAAACAAAAAAGCTCCTTCCTTTTGTGTTAAATGCAAAATAATCGTTATCTAAGAAAGGTCCCACCTTCAGTTGGTGAGTACAGCCTCTAGACAGGGGAGACAGTTCACTTATGAAAAAAAATATATATAAGTTAATCTCCCCGTCTTGTTTTTAAAATACGTTCAGGGAAAAGTGTTTACAAACTTCTTTCAATAGTACAAATTTTTCTGATTTACACTATGATCTATTGCTAAATTTTACACGTACTCTAACAAACTTTTTTTATTTTCTTAAATGTTTATTTTTGACAGAGAGAGAGAGAGAGAGAGAGAGAGAGAGAGAGGGGCAGAGACAGAGCATAAGTGGGGGAGGGACAGAGAGAGAGGGAGACAGAATCCGAAGCAGGCTCCAGGCTCCGAGCTGTCAGCACAGAGCCTGACAGGACTTGAACTCATAGACTAAGAGATCATGACCTGAGCCGAAGTTGGATGCTCAACCGACTGAGCCAGCCAGGTGCCCCAGAAACTTTTTTTAAATAGAACTTTCTTTCCCCCTTTAAAAAAATGTTTATTTTGAGCACTGGGTGTTGTATGGAAACCAGTTTGACAATAAATTTCATATATCGAAAAAAAATGTTTATTTGGGCGGGGGGAGGGGGGAGAAAGAGAGAGTTCGTGCATGTGTGAACAGGGGAGGGGCAGACAGAGAGGAAGAGAGAGAATCCCAAGCAAGCTCCATGCTGTCAGCACAGAGCCTGATGTGGGGCTCCCTCTCGTGAACCATAAGATCATGACCTGGGCCAAATTCAAGAGTGGGTCCCTCAACTGAGGAAGCCACCCAGATGCCCCTTACTCCGCTGAGAAACTCTGATGTTAAGTAGTTCTTATGAGAAAATAAAACTTGATTTCTAAAATATGATTTTATGGTTCTGTGTATGTATCTAGGATAGAACGAAGACTGAAAACACATAATTTAAAATTCACGAAGTCCTTTGAAGGAAAGTGTAATAAATATGCTTCCATGTCAGAAGACTTGGGATTTGTTGTCGTTCTTTTAATGGCTTAAAGTGGGAGAACTGGAATCTATTACTACTGATAATCTTCTTTAACTTATTCTATTTTTCTGCATGACTTCTAAACAAAATATTACTGGTTTTCTCTTTAATTATTACACTTCATACTGCCTAGAAACTCCCAAGCCCCCTGCCTCCCTCGGACGTTTCCCGCCACTCCAAAATGCTCACGCACCACGGCGTTTTGTGGGTTCGCCTGCTCATCGTGCATCTCCCGGATCTCCTGGTCCGTGGACGCGTGGACCTGACTCAGCACGCTGAACCACTGGCTGTGGGAAGGAGAGAGTGACCGTCAAGGAGGGGCCAGCTGTCGCATCTGCAACACAGTGAATGATGCCCTTCCCCACGATCTCTGCGAAAATGACATGTCCTCTGAGCACCTTTGCTTCTCGTCTGCCTACTCCTCAGGGGTTAAATGTGGGTTTCATGCTACCAACGGGCAAGGGGGGAAGAAACAGCCAAACTGCCTTTGGGTATCACCTGTGGCAACGTGAGATCAATGAGAGACCCTCTCCTCCTCCAGCTCCCCCAGACCTTTAGACATTTAATGACGATGACAATGAAATCCTCAGTTCTACCCAAAACATTTATAATCAAGGATCTTTACTGAAGATATTATTTCTAACCTAGGGAATATTCAAGGACCTTTTCATTTGTTGAAAGTAAATTCCAAGGTTAAGAAGGCCACTGGTGTCTATTTTCCCTCCTCACTCCCAGGATGGGGTTTTCCAACCACCTGATGGGATTTTCTACCAAAGTATGAACAAAACCATAGGAGAGCAGGAAACAGAACACAACTGTTTGAAGTAGAAAGTGATTTTGACTGGAGAATTCTTCCATCTCTTCCAATGAGTTCTCTCACTTTCAGACTCATTAGAATCAGACAATAAAGGAAAACATGTCAACCTCAGAAAAGTCAAGCTGAACAGAAGTCATGATGTAACTACAAACACAATACGTGCTTGAGGAAAATGACCGTGAATATTCATTCATCTATCTGTCCATCCATCCACCCATCTAACATTTATGAAGCAACTATAAAATGTGAGAGGTACCAAATGTGAGATGCTAGGACATCCTTCTCCTGCAGGGCCTCATTAAGACATATATACACACTCCTACTAAGTAAAGCAGAGGACCAAGTGCTTGGTATACAATGGGATATTTAAGCAAAAAAAAAAAAAAAAAAAAAAAAAAAAAAAAAAAAAATTACACCTATATAGAAAGTTAAGTCACATAAGGTACTTATAGCAAAGCACTAAAACCTATCCCCTGTTAATTTTGAAGGAGAAAAATGTGGCCAAGAGTTTCTTTTTAAATTTTTTTTTAAAAAATGTGGCCAAGAGTTTCTTTTCTTTTTAAATTTTTTTTTAATGTTTATTTGTTTTTGAGAGAGAGTGCACAAGCAGGGAAGAGGCAGAGAGAGAGGGAGACACAGAACCGGACGCAGGCTCCAGGCTCTGAGCTGTCAGCACAGAAGCCGACGCGGGGCCCAAACCCATGGATTGCGAGATCATGACCCGAGCCAAAGTCGAACGCTTAACTGATGGAGCCACTCAGGTGCCCCAGTGACCAAGAGTTTCAAAACAGCATATACAGACTCTTAGGAAACAACCAAGGGAAATATTTAATATAAATTTGCTTCATCAGTTCTGGTGAACTCAAAGGCAAGACTTAAGACTTCACTTATTGCTTTATGAAGCTCAACAATTTCCCAGATCAGATGCTGAAAAACACATACATTCCAGATGTAGGCCACATGGGATCACACACACACACACACACACACACAGAAAATAAAATTTGCTATGCTTTCGATCTGTTCAGGTGATACTCTTAAATTTACAAATTTCTCCTCATGAATCAAGTTTATTTAACTCAATCCGAAAAGGAATTTTTAAAAAACACATTCTGCGGGGCGCCTGGGTGGCGCAGTCGGTTAAGCGTCCGATTTCAACCAGGTCACGATCTCACGGTCCGTGAGTTCGAGCCCCGCGTCGGGCTCTGGGCTGATGGCTCGGAGCCTGGAGCCTGTTTCCGATTCTGTGTCTCCCTCTCTCTCTGCCCCTCGCCCGTTCATGCTCTGTCTCTCTCTGTCCCAAAAATAAATAAACGTTGGAAAAAAAAAAAAATTAAAAAAAAAAAACACATTCTGCTGGTCAGGGGAACAAGTCCTCAGTTAACAGATCCCCAGTGTTAAATTTCGCAGGCTCGTTACGGCACAAAGCAGAGAGGACGGCTGCCAAACGTGGGGCCTGTAATTCAGCCGAGAACTGTGGGCCTTCCTGGGACTGCAAACAACCACAACTGGTCTCTAGGAGTCCCAGATGGAACGAGGGGCTGTAATTCCAGGTTTGCTTGGTTTTTCCAGTTTGTGTCATAATTTATGGATCCAAGCAGGGTTTTTAGTGTGTTCCCATGGGAAGAATTATTTTCTTTGCCCTTGCTGTGGCTACCATGGCGTTGTATCAACTCAAACATTCAAAGGGCAAGGGGTAGCGGAAGGCAAGGAGAATTCATTAGAAGATCCTAATGATTTCTGAGGTGAAAAGTAAAGAACACAGGCGGAGGGTCCTCTCTGGCATTGCTCAGAGGAGCCAACAGATCCCTCCAACGTAACCTTGTGGCTCACAAAACACAAGTGGACAAACAGACGTCTGACCGTATCTCATCCACCGTATGACCCTGTGATGCATCGCGCTGGGAGCACACAGCCCTTCTCCTTGACTTTTTCCACGTCTCTCCAGCACTAGGATGGAAACCTGAGGTCCAGAAAAGTTAGACCGCTTGACCCAGCCAACGGACGCCACACTGTCCTTGGAACTCAAACATTCAAGCTCCTTAAGAAACATAATGCCTCTGTTCAGTAGAATGAACTTCTGTTACTTCACAGATTATTCTGCCCTTTCTCTTACCTGAGTCTCCTGCTCGGCAAAATGTGTTTAAGGGTAACGATGTGTAATAAGACACGTGAAACATGTCACCACATTGCCTGAAATATAGTAATTCTAAGTGTTGACTATCTCTTCTACCCTATTGAATTTTTCAACGTGAAGACCTTCAACCCTCTCTCAATGCCACAGTGCTATCAATTATTTAAACACCCAGTGGTGAGTGCGCCTGCCTTCTCACTCCTTAGGCAAACACAAGCTGTTCCCTTTCGAAGCTCAGAAGCTTCCAAAGGGTGGGCTTTTGCCTCTGTGTAGGTGCATGGTTGACGCACGCTGCCGGGGACAATAAAAGCCTGAGCCAGGATACCAAGGGCTCTAGTGGCGTTCGAAGCTGGAAATCCTCGACCGTGTGTGGTAACTTGGACACCTTAGCCCAGTGAAAGATACCCCAGGGGACAAGAACGTCAATCTCATGACGCGGTTCTTCAACCGTCCTAACAGACAAGCCCAACTCGAAAATCCACTAAAAATCTTTTCAGAGCCGGCAGGGTAAACACTGAACTGTGTGGCGCCCAGGCCTGTAGGGGAGTAAAGATGTGGCTCACATGCGGGCAACGGCAGTGTCTCACCTGGCATCTTCGGGGGATTCCGCAATCAGGTGGAAGGTCCTATCGGCCACGACGATGTCAATCCCGTTCTCTTTGCTGGTGTTATCTATGATCTCTCTGCAAAGTAGCACAAGCATCAGATGCAAATCAGGGCTACGGGATCCTTAAGAGGGATGAAAGCAAGCAAGACCACCAAAATGATGGTTGTTGAGATCAGAATCAAAAAATTTCAAAACTACTTATTTACTTCAGTCTGACCATCTTCAGGAGCCCGCGCGGGCGTGGCTCCCTCTGCCTCGAGAGAGGAAGGCTGAGGCCGGGGCCAGGGCTAGGCGCCTGCTGGACACTTCCAGGGAGGAGTGTCTCTCCTCACTCTGGCCTGCCCAAGACACGTCCCTGCCGAGACCCTAGAAGGCTTGGGGCAGGAGTCCCCTTCTTGGCCCGCACCTTCCCTTGGCCCCTCTCACTGCTCTACAAGGGAAGGACCCCCGACGAGGGGACTAGTCTTGAGCTCCTTCCTAATTCCTCATGGCTTCCTGCTGCGGTTTAAGGCCTTGGCCAACACGTGTGACCTGGTAAGGGCACATTATTTCCATTGGGGGCTCAGAAGATTTGGGTGTTTCTGGATCTCCGTGCCACCCCGATCTCATCCCAACATGCCCTGCACAACATTAGAGGTTTAAAATCGATGGAGCAGGTTAACAAGATCAGGATGAAATACAAGCAGGTGTTGAGATGGGACCAGAGATGGTAAAATATTTGATGAAGAAGGGTCTTGGGGATAAAGCCAGCTTGCTTTGCCAACCCAAGTAGTACCACTCTTCACAGTAAAACACGGATTCCACATCTACAAAACTCAACAGGCTTGCTAGTTAGAAAAAATAAAAACCTTACAGCTGGAATCACACAAGAGAAAATATTTTTAAAAGTCAAGATAGCGAGAATTCCTGCCCTTGCTGAGCAGGAGGCGAGAGGTGATAAGTGGGCAGCCACCAGCCAAGCGTCTGGTTAGAGGGGCCTCTCGAGTAGGGCTCCAGGGAAGTGTCCAGACCGTGTCATACTGGACCAGCCGCTTTGCCTCTTGGGAACTCAGCAATCTTGTATGTAAAATGAGAGGGGACACGGATCTAGTCGTAAGGCTGCGCGTCTGAACCACAGTGGCCTTACGAATCCTGGGAAACTTTCAGAAAACCCAGGTAGGTGCTCTCTGGCGGGGGCAGGGACCCACACTCGTAAAAAGCTTCCCTGGAGATGAGCGAGTGATGATATTGTCAGGGTCACGGTACACATCATCTGGAAACTCTGTAGGATAAATGTGGTGGCATCATCAGTGACAGCGAGTGAGTGAAGAAAACGATGGAGGGGAATGTTGTATAAACTGCCAAAGACTTGAGAGATGGGTCAATTAGTTAAAAATTACAGACCTTATTTGAATTCTGATTTGAAGAAATAAACCAGCCCGAACCAAGGAGAGCACTATCGCCTCTATTTACAAGACAACTGGATAAATTTGAACAATGACTGGAGTTTGGATGATTAAAGAGTTATTTTTTAACTGTTACAGTGTGATTATGTATTGAGAGTCTTAACCTTTAAGTGTCTACTCAACTATTTAGAGATAAAATTATATGATGTATGTTTTACAGAACAGTTAGTAAGGGAAGGAGTGCAGGGTGGGGTTATGGGTGAAACACTTCGGCCTTGGGGCGGGGGTGGGTCTCTGCTGAAAGCTGGGGAATGACCACAGGCACTTCGTTATATTCTCCCACTTACTCCTGCATAGGATTGAAATCTTCTTTAATAAAATGAAACATTTTAATTAATCTCAACAAAAAATCTTAATGGGCGAAACCCTAAGAATTTAATGTCCTTCCTCTACAGAATAGGACAGAAATGACCTCATGATAGCTAACATCTCCTTAACTCTGGAATTCTCACAAAGCACCTGGAAATGGGGCTTTATCAAGCAGCACAGAGTCAGGTGCATGAGGAATATACATCAATTTCCACCATTGAAATTCTCTCTCTGCCCTCCTCCTCTGAGCTTCCTGGCGTTTGTGGGTGAGCCTTCTGTGGGGTGAATCAGGAGGAAGAACAAATACACAGAGCTGAGAGGCAGAGGCACAGAGCTGTGTCGTGCTATGGAAATTTCTTGTAGGGTTTAGACTCCCGATCCTACACACTCACTCTTGTTCTGGAGCCTGGGCTCCTAACAAACCCCGAGGGGCAGCCTGGAAAGTCTAATACTCTGCTGTCTGCACTTCATTGTTTGCCCTTAAAATTAAATGCACAAAACGCCTTCCCTGTTTAACCTCCCATTTTTCAATAAAAAAAGTTCAAGAGTTGCCAGTGCTGGTTGGAAACAAAATGCTAATTTCAGGTCTCGTGATTTCAGGAGTTAATCTCATCTCTCGAAGCTTATTTTACTCATTTTCTAAATATGTACCAAGCTACCCAGTTGCCGCTAAGTCCAACTTCCTGAATTTTTAACTAAATAATAGTCCACTAGTCCAGTGATTTGGTTCTATACGGGGGGGGGGGCGCGAAAAAGTGGGTTTGTTGGATTCAAAGCCGAGCTCTGTTCCTGTCATTGCTGGGAATGAAGATGGCTGGTATATCCCACGTTAGCAAAAGACAAAAAAATTCATTCCAAAAAACACCTCTATGAGTGAAAGGTAATCGAGAGGAGAGGAGAGGAGGAGGAGAGGAAGGAGGAGAGGAAGGAGGAGAGGAAAGGAAAGAAGAAAGGTAGGTAGTGAAAGGTACAATCTCCCGGGTATAAAATAAGTCCTGGGGACGTCACATACGGCTTGGTGACTAGTTGATAATACTGTGTCGCAATTATGAAAGTTGTTGAGTAGATCTTAAAAGTACCCAACAGCAGAAAACAAAATTTATAACTATGGACGGTGACGGTGATGGATGGTTTAGCCTCACCGTGGTAATTGTTTTGCAATAGACACAAACGTGGAGTCGCTATGGTGTTCATCTGAAACTAACATAGGTCAGTGATACCTCTAAAAATTAAGCACAAAACCCAAACACTCCAGATTGGCAGTCTGTCTCCAACTTAGCAATCTGCTTATATAAAAGGACTAGAAGTGGTCTGTGGACCAATAAAAAGATTCTTAACCAGTGGTTCAAGATTCCCAGGCTTCCTGCATACGACCAATCACATTTCCGACAGCCAGTTGCAGGCCCGGCTGGCATCTCATAAACGACAGCCAGATGTCTGAACGTGCCCACAGAAAGCGAACTGTTCACAAAGTCACTTCCCCGGTTTCCTAACAATCCGGTCCACTGAAGTGAATGACTGGGGTGCACTCAACCCCTACTCCAGCCCGCGGACCGGTGGCTTTGGAGGAAGCAACACCCACGGTCCAGCAGCCCCAGAGCGCCACCCACCGGGGCCACCTGCACAGTCCATCGACATACTTTGCCGTGCGGACTTCCAAGGTGCCCTTGAGCTTCTCCTCACTGTCGTTTTCAAAGTACATCAGCTTGGACTGGCGGAGGACAAACCAGCGCTTCTTCCAGTTTCTCCTGGACAGTGTCGAGGAGCCGCCGCCTTTTTTGTGGAGCCAGCCTTGCTTGAGGGCCTCCTGCTTAGAGCGGAACCACAGGAAGGTTTCGTCCTTGAGCACGCACCAGCGACGTTTCCAGGAGTTCATTAAGCCACCTGTGGCCCCCAGATTGGGTGGGGAGGGGTGCAAGAAAAGTCGATCACATTGGATGACAAGTTCAGCAGGTTTCGAGGTTCTGCCTCCCCTTCACCTCACCCAACCGACCCACCCCCAGACGCCCCTCAACGAAGCCTCGGTGCCGCTGGCTTGTGTTCAGGAGGCAGAGGGGGAGATGTTACACTAGCTTGGTTGGACCACACGGGAACGCTGTCCCTTCCTTATGTCCGGAGCACTTCCTACTCAGCTGGGAAATCCTGGTGAGGGGCTATCAGAAACGCAAATGACGAGTTGACACTCTAACCCCCAGCACGAGTCAAGGGTCATGGTGCGAGAACCATTTCTGTATGTATGGATCATGGGGATCTCAAATGCCCCAGAAAGGAGAAATTAATTTAAAATGATGTCAGGGTGCCTGGGTGGCGCAGACGGTTGGGCGTCCGACTTCGGCCAGGTCACGATCTCATGGTCCGTGAGTTCGAGCCTCCAAGGCAGCCGTCGTTTGGGCTGATGGCTCAGAGAGCCTGGAGCCTGTTTCCGACGCTTCATGCCTCCCTCTCTCTCTGCCCTCCCCTGCTCACTGCCTCCCCTTCTCTCTGTCCTAAAAAATAAATAAACGCTGAAAAAAAATAAATTAATTAAAAAATAAATAAATAAATAAATAAATAAATAAAAAATGATGCTCAAAGAGGGGTTTTGGTGGTTCAGTCGGTTGAGTGACGACCCCACGGGCAAGTCAGTCAGCGATCTCTGCCAGGAGTTGCCCCCACGCCGCCTCTGCAAAAGCGCCAACTTGCCCAGATTGCTCAAATTAATTGTCGATTGTCAGGAAGCCTTCTGCTTCAATTTTAGTTACACTTTCGCTCTTTCCCATTCCATTTCTGCAGGTTCTCTCTCAAAATAAATAAACATTAAAAAAAATTTACTAAAATGGTGTCATTTTTTTTTCTTTAAAAAAAATTTTTTTTTTCAACGTTTATTTATTTTTGGGACAGAGAGGAGAGACAGAAGAAGAACGTGTGGGGGAGGGCAGAGAGATTGTTGTATTCTGAAATAGGTTCGCCCTCCCAGCCATCACCAGCCTGATCGCTGGGCTCTAACCCCGTGACCGCCAGATCATGAATCTGGTTGAAGCTCGATGTTAATCCCATCGCTTTCACCCAGGCGCCCCAATGGTGTCATTTTTAAATGGTGTCAAAAGTTTACACATTCCTTATTTGGTCAATGTGGGGATCAAGACTGAAAACTTACACAGGAAAATAAAATAGGACTTTTTCGGGTAAACATATTCTTTTCAAAGAAAAGCATCATCTGAAAACGGTTTATATGTAAAACGTAGAAGATTTAGAACATGAAACAGTTGTGACTAGGCCTTAAAAATGAGAATTCAGGGGCGCCTGGGTGGCCCAGTCGGTTAAGAGTCAGGCGAAGCTGACTTTGGCTCAGGTCATGATCTCACGGTTCATGAGATCAGCCCTGTGTCAGGCCCTGTACTGACAGCTCGGAGCCTGAAGCCTGCTTTGGATTCTGTGTCTCTGTCTCTCTTTGCCCCTCCCCCACTCACACTCCATCTCTCTCACTTACTGAAAAACAAACCTTAAAAATTTTTTTTAAAAGGAAAAAAGCAAAAACATGAGAACTTTGCTGTAACTTATTTACTAGAAATATTTTTGGTTAAGAGAAGGCAGACAGAATAAATTTATCTTTCACAAGATAAAAAGTATTTCTAAAGGGCGTCTGGGCTGGCTCAGTCGGTGAGGCATGCGACTCCTGATCTGAGTTCGAGCCCCCACACTGGCTGTAGCGATCACTTAAAAGTAAAATCTTAAAAAAAAGTTTGAATCTTTTTTCTAGCAGAATAATTTTATCTTAGTATTCCAGATTTCCCGGGTTGCCTGAGCAGCTCAGTTGGTGGGGCGGCTGACTCTTGGTTTAGGCTCAGGTCACGATCTTCTGGTTTGTGGGTTGGAGTCAGGCTTTGTGTGGAGCCTGCTTGGGATTCCCTCTCTCCGCCCCTCCCTTCTCATGCTATCAAAATAGACCTCAGTATTCTAGATTTCCCAAGGACACTCAAAGATGACATCTTAACCACCATTAATCAAAAATCTCTTAACAAATCCACCAACTAATCTACTTCATTTAATGTATTATAAAGTGACAGGTTTTTTATTTTTATTTTTTTGACCAGCCAGTAATAAAAATAAGGCACCCCTGAACATGGATACTGAAAGAATAAATAAAGAAAATGCTTTCTTTTACAAATCGCATATAACTTGAAAACAGACCTTCTCAGATTAATTTCTTCAACGATTTGCTTCAATGACTACAGACCTAAACCTCACCCTGGAACAAATGAAGCCAGGACGACACTGGTCCGCGTTTGGTGTGCAAAGGGACCTGTTTTTGTCGCACACACCGATGACTTCTTAAACCTAAAGCATTTCGTGCTCACCTAGCTGTGAAGTCTGTGACCACACCCTGCTCCAGAGCGGTTTCCTTCACAAACTACGAACTCGCAAAGGGCTACCGGACTTAGACTTTTGCTTTCTGATTTGTGGCTTTAATCTGGGTTTCTCAAAACAAGCCCGGAGGAAACTGCAGGACAAAGTTCTTCTATTATCTTATTGTCTGTGAGCCATAAAGGCGAATAACACTATATGATGACAGACAGGGCTATGACTTACTGTGATAAGCGTGGAGTAACGTACAGAACTGCTGGTGAATCATTTTGTCGTAGGCCAGAAACCAAGATTACATTGTATGTTAATCACACTAAAGTTAAAAAAATGTTCTTAAATGATAAAGCTGGTTCAGTCATTATTATTTCCTCTGCTGCTCCTATGTTCTGAACGGGCCCCACTCCAACTCTGGGTGCTCTCTCCATACTTCATCATGGAGAGAATATGATCAATGCTATTCATCTCCTAACTGCAAACGCCTTTAGCAGACTATCGGGCTGGTGAAAACTCACTGATGCTCATGAAATATAACCTGACGGTCAGATTTTCTTCATAATTGGTTTCTCTGAAACTTTTGGTCGCAAATTTGTAAGCGCCTTATTAAAGATTAAATGATGATGTATCAAAGATTAAAAGGTGATGCATTTAGGGGCGCCTGGGTGGCTCGGTCGGTTGAGCGTCCGACTTTGGCTCAGGTCATGGTCTCAGAGTTCTTGAGTTTGAGCCTCGCATTGGGCTCTGTGCTGACAGCTCAGAGCCTGGAGCCTGCTTCAGATTCTGTGTCTCCCTCTCTCTCTGCCCCTCCCTTACTAGTTTTCTGTCTCTCTCTCTCTCTCTCTCTCTCAAAAATAAATAAAAACATTAAAAAAAATTTTTTTAAAGGTGATTCATTTATATAATTTGTTTTAATAAGAGGAGTTTGCCAAAAATTTACTTGCTTACCTTCTTGAGCTTTTAATGCTTTAATCTTTTTTAAAAAATGTTTATTTTCGAGAAATAGAGAGAGAGAGAAAATGAACACAAGTGAAGGGCAGAGAGAGAGAGAGAGACAACAGAATCTGAAGCAAGTCCTAGGCCCTGAGCTGTCAGCACAGAGCCTGATGTGGGGCTCAAACCCATGAACCGTTGAGATCATGACCTGAGCTGAAGTTGGATGCTCAACCGACTGAGCCACCCAGGCACCCCTCACTGTTTAATCTTACAATTTTGATGCTTTGAATATAGCTTTACTTTTCCCTAATCTCATTTGCTTTAATCAGACAATCATGCAATAAGCCAATGTCATATATTCTAAGTAAGAGTGACTTATAGGGAATTTTTAAAGCTCATTTAGGGAACTAGGTTAATTAGGGGCAGGGGAAATATATTAATAATAAAAAGCTTATATTTATTCTGAGAAATGCATGACAAAATCTTTTTTTTTTTCCTTATACGAGAAAATCTCAGAATGCTGATTCGATACTTATTAGATTAGGTTCTGATTTGCGATTAATTTTTTTCTTTCATCGATTATTCCAATGAACACTTGATTGCTTGGTTAGGATTTTTCAATCTTTTTCATTCAGCACAACCATAAAAATTTCCACTAACCAGTGACTCCAGGCAATAGGAAGATGGTCCCTAAACTAAACCTGGTGGGGTTTCCATGAGCGCCTTGGGGATCTGGGGCTGAGCACAGCAGAAATTTGAAAAGCGAATGACTGATGTTAGTAACTAGACTGATGTTGAAGACGGGGATGGAAGTAGCAAAAAAAAAAAAAAAAAAGAGAAATCAAATTAAAAGAAAAACGTAAGTGAAGAAAAGAAAAAATACAGAGGAGGACAAATGATATGAAAAAAGAAATATGTCAGTTGAAGAGGAGAGAAGCAAAGAACAGAAGGAACAGGGAAAGGGAAAACAGAAGAAAAAACTTTTGCATGGAGGAGAAAAGAAGGAAAGGCAAAGCAAATGAAGAAAGACAGCTGCAGAAAGAAAGTGAAGAGTCAGAGAAGACGCACTCGCTGACCACGAAACGGGGAAGGGAAAGAAAAGGCAGGGCGGAGTGAAGGGTGCCATCAGGCAGACAGTGGTTCTTATCCCTCCCTGCCTCCTCCCCAAGATCCAGACCCCTTCCCGCGTCCAGTCGAGGGGCATGTGGGAAACCAGGCAGTCCCTTCCTTCAGTGATCCAAGTGAAACTCCTACCAAAACATGGTGATGACAGTGACTTCTCACACTCCCTGTCACCGATTCAGAAGTCAGAGTTGACAACAGGAATAAGGTAGGACTAGAAGGTTCTAATTAAGTTCTTTTCCAAAAGCAGAATGCTTCCAAGTCCTTAAGTATTTTATTTTTTTAAGTTTCTGTATTAATTTTCAGAGAGAGAGAGAGAGAGAGAGAGAGAGGATTCCACGCAGGCTCTGCTCTGTCAGCACACAGCCTGACGCGGGGCTTGAACTCTAGGACCAAGAGATCGTGACCTGAGCCTAAATCAAGAGTCCCACACTTAACCCACTGCACCACCCAGGCGCCCCCGAAGTCCTTAAGTATGAAGGGTCAGCTCAGTACGTTCAAAATTTAATACTCAACACATACAACCAAAATCCTCATCATGAAGGATGGGGCAGACAGCAGGTGTCATAAGCAGTCAAGGCAAGGTGCACCATTCTCTCAAATCTTTACTGTTCCCCCATGGATATGCAGGAAACCCTTCTGGGTTCTTGGACACTGGTGTGGGAGGGAAAAGTGTAGTGCATCATTACAATGGGCTATACCAACTCCTGCAGAAGCACGTGTGTGTGTGTGTGGACACGCGTGTGTAAGAGAGAAAAATTGGGGGCAGGGGAGGGGAGATGTAGGAAGAAAGGAAAAGGGGACAGAAATGAGATGGGGAGGCAAGAGAGAGGAGCGAGGGATGGAATATGGTGGCAGGGGCTGCACCCTCTGTCCTAACACGGTGCACCAACTGTGGAGCGTCAAAGCAGCTCTCCATGGCATGATCACGTCACCCATGTCATGGCACCAGGGCACGCTTCACTCACCTAAGAGGACCTACCATCAGGTAAGGGGTAGGGGGAACGGGGACTGACGTTCCTGGTGCCCCTCGATCAGCCCAAGCGATAAGGCTCCACCCCCAACCCTGACACCCTGGTGACACAGGTCATACCTTTCATGTACAGAAAGCTGTGGAAGTAAGGCAGGGTGACACAGCTATACACAGAGTCCCGCCGGTAAGAAAGCTCATCGTCTGTATCAAACCGAGAATCAAAGTCCTCTTCGCTATCTTCAAACTGGACAAGGAGAAGAGAGAGAGAGCCAGTGGTGAGCAAAACAGAAAAAGCAACAAAAATGCCCAGCCATCGACTGACATTGAACAAAACAGAAACTGACAAAGAGGCAACACGTGGATTCATACCATTACAACACCGGTGGTCATCAAAAGAATCTCCAAATACTGACTTTTAAGGTCGAATGGCCCACCCAATGGATACATAAAATGCGAGACAGGCTTGAATCCAAAGGCTGTTCTAAAAACACTGCTGTTCAAGGGTATAATTTTAATCAAACCATCCAAGAGTTAATTCCCTTTAAATTACTATGATAAAAATATCTTCAAGTCTTAGAAAATCAAGGGGGTATTTAATGCGCAGTCAATGGGGGAAAATTAGAGTAAACTATAAATAAACCCACAAGTTGGAAAGAGCACATATAAGCACTAAACGGTCCTCCCTTACAACCCGCATAGGGTAGAACATCCCGTGGGGTGGACCGTGAAGCTACCGTAAGGGCCGCTTCTCCAGGATGCCCTTGGCAGTTCTAGCTCTAATTCCGAGCGGGTCGTATTTCCCAACCTGCTGGGAAGCTAGGACAGACCCGGCTCAAGTTTCCACAGACAATGCCAGTTTCCTTAGGCTCGGGGCAAAACGCAAAATTGCAATTCCGGGCCCTGTTCAACCTACAACAGGCACCTCAAAGTTCCATTTGCTGATGCCACTGCTTTCGGCAAGAGAAGGGGGTTTGGGGAGCATCTTCAAGAGCCTGCCTTGGAAATCTTGGCTCGTCCTTCCAGGAGAGGGGGCACCCAGGGTGTGGACTACAGACGCCCCCCCTTCCCCCCCCAACCGTGGTCCGCACTCA